CAAAAAACCCCAAAACCCCAAAAAACCAAAAAAAAATTCCCCCAAACCTGATCAATCTAAATATTAAAACAGAAATGCTAAATCTGTTGGAAACGAGAATACAAACTCTTCAAGACACAGTTGTAGGCAAAGACTTTATGAACAAACCCCAATCTCACAAAAAATATTACCTAGAATGAACAACTAGGATATCATCTCATTAAAAATCTTTTGCAAAGCCAGACAATCCACCAACAGGATGAAGCAACAACCCACAGTGTGGTTAAAATTTTTTTTTGCCAGCCGTTCCTCAGCCAAGTCCTTCTATTTAGACTATATAAAAAGTTAAAAAAAATCAGACTCCCCCAAAGTTAAAGACCTAATCCAAAAATATTCATCTGAAGTCAACAGACACTTCTTAGACAAAGAAGAAGAGCCAGGGATTTAGCTCAGTGGTGTAAGCCCTTGCCTGGCAAGTGTGAGGTCGTGAGTTTAATCCCTGGTACAAAAACAAAACAAAACACCCAAACAAATAAAAGAGCAAAAAGAAGTAGAAACAGCAAATAAATACTTGAAAAAAGATTTCAACATGTTGGTCAGTTGAGAGATGCAAATTAAAACAACACTGAGATTCTGTTCCTCTCCAGAAAGAATGGCATTTATCAAGAAATCAACAAATAAGGAGTGTTGATGGGGCTGCTGGGAGAAAAGAAGTCCTCTCGACTATTGATGGGAGTGTAAACTGGTACAATCACTGTGGAAATTACTGTGGCTCAGCGGGCATGGCAGAACAGCTCCTCATTTCACGTCAGCCAGGAAACAGAGAGTGAAGGGAGTGGCTGTGAAGGGACGGGTTTTTTGTGTGTGGTTTTTTGAGACAGTGTCACAGTATACAGTGTGGGCTGGCCTTGAGCTCACTTAGTAGCCCAGGCTGGTCTCGAATTTGAAATGATCCTCTTGCCTCAGCCTCCAAGTGCTGGGATTACAGGTGTGAGCCACCATGCCAGGCTGTGAAGTGAAATTTACCTTTCTGGGTCATGTCCACAGTGAACCACCTCTTCCTACCACACCCTACCTCTTATTATTCTCTGAAAAGCCAATCACCTTTCAAAGCCCCTTCTATGACCCCATGAGGCCCTTTGTAGACATCTATTATAAAGGGTGCAAATTATAACATTGCACCCTTGGCCGTCAGAGAAGAATGTGCATTTCTTTATGAAAAATGTATTTAGTTTGTAGGAGTCACCAAAGTCTTTAACAGTGTCAGCAATGCTACAAGCCCAAGTCCAAATTCTCCTCTGAGACCTGAAGCAAAACTCTTACCTGTGAACTTCTGTGAAAATAAAAAGGAAACTTAAACACTGACATGATACAAAAGCAGGGGTAAACATTCACATTTCAAAAGGTGGACAAGGGGCTAGACATAAATGCAAAATCAAGACCCATCAGGACAAACATCTAAACCTATAGATTCATGTTCAGTGTCCAGAGAAAGCTGTAGCGAGGTCAGAACTCCAAAGGGCTTGTACAGCCCCTACATTCCTGGTGGTTACAGCCCTCATGGCCTATTCTTGGACTTTGTTCCCTGCTTGTGGCTTTCCTCAGATGCTCCATGTTCCTAGCCTCTCCAACTTTCTGGGGTCTCCACTGCATTTCTGGCTTCATGCTCACAGCTTCGTGCTCTTCCCTCTCAGGGGCACACTGACGGGCAGCTAATGCCATCTCTTGAGATCTAGTTGGAAGCCTCTGTGACCCCATGACCCCTGCATTCTGCAAGCCTGTAAAACCAGCAGCACCATGTGGATAACATGGGGCTCTCTTCTCAAAGCAAAATTTTTCAGTTTTCCAATTTTGAGCTGGTAAAAGGGTGGTGCCTTGCTGGCTCATCATTTACCTTCAAGGCATATTTTGTCTTGTCCTGCTGTACCATACTTGGCTTTTTTTTTTTTTGTCTTTTTGAGACAGGGGCTTGCTATGCAGTTCAGGCTGGCCTCGAGCTCATTTGTAATCCAGACTGGTTTCAAACTCAAAATGATCCAGTCCTTGCATGGTCTGCAGGCTCTAAGGCAGAATGGTCTAGTACCAGGGGATGGCAGCCAGATATTAGTGAAGGGAAAAGCTGTATCCTTCCAAACCTGTCCACAGCGATCTACCCCTTTGGACCAGACTGGACCTCTTAGCCAGGCAGCTAATCACCTGTAATCCATTTACTTTCCGAAGATCCTTCGCATGCTCCCATGAGGGTTTGAGGGCACATCTACGTAGGCTATAACTTAACAACAACTAAATAAACCACCTCTGAGGTTGTTGTATCTTGCCTTAGGTGAAGTATATTAGTATTTTTAGCCAGATTAGGAGAAAATTGCCAACTTATACTCTTTAGGCTCTTGTGTTTCTCAATTTTGTTCTGGTCTTAGACATTTATATCTGCTAATGGACGTCATGAGGAAATGATCCTACAAAAGCATTGAAGGGGGAGCGCTGAAGAAGTGCAGTCTGCAGTATCAGCGTTGCCACGGCAACTTTAGTAACTACATACAACAGTAACAGTATAAAAACTTGGAGGCATTTCTTAGCACTTGGTGGGAAGTAAATATGTTACCGAAATCATCGTGTTTGATTTTTGCGGGTAACTGACTCTTGTAACTAACTATGCTTTCTACTCTTAAGCTGGGTTTAGAGTCCCATTTTAAAAAAATTTTGGAGTTCAATTTTTAATCCATCTTATATACAGAATTTATTGGAATAATTTAGCTGTCTTTGGTTTTCTACTTGTTCATCTACTTAAACTGATATTCATATTTTTGTAAAACTGCTTCAAATTCTTCTTAGAATAGGCTATACATTCATATACAAATTAATTTATGTCCAAAAATATTTTTGTCTCCAACCTGTTTTCTCGGTTTTTTTTTTTTTTTTCTTTTTGAAACAGGATTTCACTATGCAGTTCAGGCTGGCCTTGAGCTCACTTTGTTGCCCAAACTGGTCTGGAACTCACAATACTCCTTTGGCCTCGGCCTTCTGGGAGCTGGGATTACAGGTGTGCGCCACCACACCCAGCTGTTTCTCAATTTTAGGTCCCACTTTACCTCAATGTACATATACAGTAGGAATAAGAGGTTGCTAGGGTTCAAGCCATTTTGGGCTTGTGAGTTCAAGGATAGTCTGAATTATATGGTGACACCCTGTCTCAAAAACACCAAAACAAAACAAAAAAGCAAAAGAACAAAACAAAGGGACTTAACAGATAAAAGATTTTTAAATTTTGGATCTACTCACAGCCCTTGTGATATTTAGCAAATTAACTTCTCTGAACCTGTTTTTTTCATCTGTAAAAAATGGTACTTCAAAGGACTGATTTAAGGAGTAGGGGTGAAGAAAAGTACTAAAACATTAAAAAAACAGGTGTCAGCCAGGGGTGGTGGCACACACTTGTGATCTCAGCACTAGGGAGGCTGAGGCAAGAGGAGCACTATGATTCTAAGGCCAACAGAGTTGCACAAGGCCAGCCTGGACTATATTTCCTTATCAGGAAAAATCAACCTCTGCCCCAATAGGATGTGGATAAAGCAATCATGTGACTCACTGGCTAGGACATCTGAAGTAAGCTTCATTTCTTAGGCTAAATGTAAACAAAAAAAACAAAGGAACAGATAAACCACTCTGAACCTGTAAATGAAATATAAACATACATGGACATAAAGTAGCTTGAAAAGAACCATCTGTGCCTGTTAAAATACAATCATTTAAAAAAGATTCAGTTCACAAATCATCTTTCCTATTTTGCAGTTGTTACTTTGCCCTTCTAAAATTTTTCTGGTGGACTCTACAAACCTGTTATAACAAGTAAACTAGTTTGTCTTTGTTGCCCGTCCAGGTTCCAAGTTTTTGGTGAGTAGATTCTTTCCACTTTTCCATTTGGCCAGAAACCAGGCCTGTCATTAGGAATCATTCATTATTACTTTGAATGAATTGAGGACATATTAGACTCTACGCTTGATCAAAACTGTTCTTTTTCTGATAACTTACTCTTAATCAGGCCTAATACTTGGCTCCTCTGCTGGTATCTTACTGGGGGGAGTAACAGTGGGCCACAAAAAAGTTTCAGCAAATCGAGAACTACAGTTTTTAATTCATTAAAATGTATTGTATTAAAAGAACAGCACTGAATGTGGCCCTGCCTTGAGGGCTAAGGTCACAGTCGGGTGGATGGAGGTTCCTGGGCCTTTGCAGCGGGCAGGGGGGTTTGGCTTGCAGGCAGGAGATTCAAAGCATCCAGAACCGCCCTGGGAAGACGACGGGACCCGGACGCAGGCCTAACACAGAGCAGGCCCGTGTCTGTAAAACACAGTGGCGCATCGCGTCCCTCAGTGCCGTGATCTCCAGCGGGGCACCCCGTCTGCTTCCTGGGCTCCGGGGCCCGCACTATTCCGCGGCCCGCGGGTCGCGGCCTCCGAGGACACTCCCGGGCCGCCCGCGGACCGGCAGGTGACGCGGCCGCCGCCGGGCCCGCGCATGCGCGCCGCGCCACCCCCGCCCCCACAGTGCCCGCGCCCAACGCCCCCGCCGCGGCCCGCGGGCCATGGAACCCGCCGAGGCCGGCGCGGTCCGAACACAGCCGCCCGCGCGTCCGGGCGCCGTCGCCCCGTGAGCCCGGCGGGCCGGGTCTGGGCCGCTCGCCGCCCGCCCGCCCCGCCGGTGCCGCGCGTGCGCGCCGCCGGGAGAGCGAGAGCGCGAGTGAGGGGTGGGCCGCCGCGACGATGCCGCGGGGCCGCCCCCCGAAGGCCCGGGACGGTGCGGCGCGCGGCGACTCCGGTAAGGCCCGCGGCGACCGCCCTAGTCCCCGGATGGGCGCGGGGGGCGCCGGGAGCGGCGCGGCAGGGCGGGCGGCGGCGGCGGCGGCGGGTGCGCGAGTGGCCGGGCGGACGGATACGGGCACCGCGGCCGGGCCCCTCCGCGCTGGGCCTACTTTCCGGGCCGCGGGCGGCGCGGGGGCGGCGGCCTCCGCCTCCTCCTCCCTCCGCCGGCCCGCTCCGCTTCGGCCCCCTCCCTGCCGCGCCGCCGCACCCCGCGCCCCGCGCTCCCCGCCCGTCCTCCGTGGGAGTCGTGGGAAGCGGCCGCCCTCGTGGGGCGGGAGGCCGGCCCGGCCCAGCGTCCCCAGGCCTGCGCGGCGGAGGGCGGCCCGCCCGACCTGTGAGGCCCGGGCGCCGCAGCGCGTTGGGGCGTGCACGCAGTGGGCGCCGGGCTGCCTCGGAAGGCGGCCACGCCGGCTCTGGGTGGCTGTGTGCACGCGGGCGCTCTCCCGCACACAGTAGGCGCCAGGAAGTGATTGTCTCGGGCGTTTATGTCCGCTGTGCTCGACTAAATTTATGAAATACTTGGTTTTGTTCTAGAAGGAAGGAGAAATTCACAGTTTTAAAGGTGGCAAATTAATTATGAAAGACATATCCTACCTTTTTCTCCCAGTAAAGAGGCTTTAGTCTTCCCCTCCCCCACCAAGTTTGGTGAGAAACATTAGGTTTTACTGTGCAGGGAAAACAGACACCCACCCATCTTGTGCATTTTTGGAGACGGAATGGAATGATCTGGTTGGAGGCATTGAGCTCTGCTATGATTACTGTGCTTCATTTCTGGCCTGGGGAGATACCTGGAAATGCTAAGACACTAAGTTTAAGTACTCCTTGACAGTTTGTGCTGTCAGGGTAGATTTTAGCTTTTGGAAAGAATCTTGTGTGGGTTCTTGGAAGGCAAGTGCAGGCCTAGGAATCTAGGGGCGGTGGACTTTGCATTGATTGGCTCTTGATTTTGTACTTGTGGCTGGCTGCATAGGTTAGTGTGACTTGGGCTTTCCTTGGGTTAAGTGCGCTGAAGCTCCTTAATAGCTTGAGAGGAGCAGAGATGCAGATGCCAGAATAAGCTCAAGTCTAGGAAATACAAAAGATTATGTTAAGTTTGTCCCCAGAATCCTTTACAAAGCAGGAGATCATGGGCGTGTGTCAATGCACAGTTAGGAACAGACAAAGTAGTAGTTACTGCTACTGTTCTTGACTAAGTTAACAGGTGTGGAGATAAAGCTGAGGTCATGGGCGTGGTGTACATGAAGTTGTGTAGAAAGGGTACTTCGTGGCACTCTTGTGGACGGGTTGGAGCATTACTACGTGGCTGATAAGGCAGATATAATGCTGATTTCCAAATGGATAACTGCTCAAAATTTTCGCCAGAGGTTGATAATGTCTTTATTGCTTCTTGTAGTTTTGACCTTAGCCTTATTTTGCTAATGGTTTTCTTTTTTTAAAATATGGCTTGTGGTAGGAATGATGGACGTAAAGTACAGTGTGACTTAGCTGCGTGGAAGACGGAAGAGAATTTAACAATTCCACTGACTCGTGACTGGGAAACTTCTTCCCCCGGTGTTCGGTGTTCGCCATCTTAAGACATAGCATCGCTGCTTTCCTGGGATTTTTCAAGCCCTTTCACAAACTGTATAATTCATCGCTTCATCTGGTAGCTTCTTTTCAGAGCTGTGTTTGCAGTTTGCCCCATCCGTAAGGTGGAGGCTCCTAAATGCATGCGTGTATGCCTGCTTGCCTGCTTGCTTTCTGTGATTTTGAGACAGGGTCTCATTCTGTCAAGCTGATTTTGAGTTCACTCTGTAGCCACACTGGCCTCAAATTTGTTCCAGTCCTCTTGCCTCAGCCTCGCAAATGCTGGGATTATAGGTGTTCTCTTTAAATCCATCGCTTGTCAGTCTGGATTTATCTCTTTAACCTGACAGTCACATCCTGATTAAAGCTCTTGAGTAGATTCTTCATCCCTTTGACGTAATCCCGGGGCTGGACCCACAGCAGTCTCAGGCCCCACCCTCCTGCAGGGCTCTCCTGACTTTGTAGTTGTTAGTGCTCTTCTCTTGCTCTAGCATTTAGTCTTTAGTGTCCTTGGCAATGCCACATGTTTCTTTCAGGGCCTTTGACTTTGTCGTGATATATCACCTCCTTTTGTCCTTCTGAAGCCCTAATGTTGCAGGTCTTCAGAGAGGCTGTCCTCAGAGCTGTCAAAAATAACTTGCTCTGCTTTGTACCACTCATTGTCCACTTCAGTGGTTACTGGTTAGTGAAACCCTGCCTCCAACTGAAAAGTGAAGGGCTGGAGGATAGCTGTATGGTAGTGTCTCTGGGTTCTGTGAGGGTACGGAGGGGACACTCTTCTGTTATTTTTTCACAAAAATATGTATGTTAACATGGAACCGACCTATTTTAAATGAATGAATATTTAAAAAGTTGTGTAAATGTCTAATAGGGCAAATATTAGATGTAAGTTCTATAAACTGAAGGTCATTTTAGGGCCTCAATAATTGAGAATGTTGAGAGGTCCTGATAAAATGCTTGAGGAGTATTACTGTATCAGTTACTCTCAGTAGTGATTTTCATAATCTAAAGTGATTTTGTCTATTTTTTGTCACTATTATAAATTTATCCTAAGAAAACTGCAAGGTCTGTAGCAATTTCCGTAGATACCAGAAGTGAAGTTCAGAAAGGCTAATCGATTTGGAAGGTCCACCTAGCCAGTAAGTGTTGTAGTTAGGATTTGGGTCTGCATTTGAGTCCAGAATGTACATTTTGTTTTGCCTTAATAAAAGCCTATCATTTGAGTGAATCCAATAGTTTATTTTTTTATTGGATATATATATATATATAAACACATTAGAGGATGTGACTGTATGTGATGTGTGTTGCTGCTTTTATCCCAGTCCCTCCCCTTCCTTCAACCCAGCTTTCCTTCCTTATTTATGAAAGGTTTGTTACCATTTTTTCCTTCTGTTCTTTTTTTATTCTCCCCTTTCTTTTTCATTCCCACTCTTTCCTTGTTCCCCTTCTCATTTGTACATTTTTCCCATTTTCTGTTATCTATTATACATTTTGGTCCTTACTTATGCATTCAGTTTCTTATACCAGAAAAAGTGTGGTATTTAAACGTGTGTCCGATTTATTTCACTTAAGAGTGTGATCTCAAGGTCCATCTATTTAGCTAGAAATGTCTCAAGCTTATCCTTCTTTATGGCAGGGTAGTACTCCATAACAATTTTTTAAACATAAAAAAAGCCCACAGCTTCTTTATCCATTCATCTGTTGTTGGGCATCTGGGCTGTTTCCAGGATTGAGCTATAAGAAACTGTGCTGCTATAAACTTGGGTGTGCATACATTGCTGAGTAGGGTGATTTTAATTCTTTTGGGAAGATACCAAGGAGGGGTATAGCTGGGTTCAATGGAACCTCTAGTTTTAGTTTTTTGAGGAATCTCCACACTAATTTCCACAGTGGGTTTCACCAGACTCTACTCCCCTCAAGAGTGGAGAAGGGTTCCTTTTTTCTGGATGAGTCCATTTGTGCAAGTTTTTCTTTTTTTGTACTGGAGATTGAATCCAGAGTCTTTACATTGGACTGAATCTCCAGCTGTTTAAAATTTTCTTTAAAAAATTTTTTTAAGGTAGTCTCTCTAAGTTTCCCAGGTGGGACGGCCTCCCCAAATGCTGTGAGTATAACTCTTTCTTTTTAGATTTGCATTTTTTAAAATTTATTTTTTAAGAGAGTAAAATTAAACATAAAAGAGAACACAACAGATCATAAGATAACAATCTGTGTAAGAAACACAGATTTCAAAGCAAGACAACCAGAGATCTTCACTATCACATTGTTTTTTGTTTTCTTCCAAATAGTTGTCCCTATCTTCGCATACAGTGAATTCATACAAAACAAAATAGTATAGAAGACTGTAGCTCTCTTTGAGCACATACTGTGGTAGGTGAGTACTGTTGGGGGTCTGGAGATGCAAAGCAGACCCAAAGACTTGCTCTTGGCTTCCATCTAGGAGAGTGTTAGGGATGGTGGCAGAGACACTGATTGGCCATAGGGAGCAGCCCTTGAAGGGCCTAGGAAAAATGATGTAGAAATTGAAACCTAAAGCCAGGATTACGAATAGGCCTAACCCAGGGAGTGGGGGACAGAAGTCACCCTCCACATACTGAGCATGAGCTCACAGTTGTATGTCATGAGTAAGTGTTAAGGCTGTTGGCATTCCTACAACATGCCTAAAGTTTCCATATGAGTTAATTTTATCCTCATTATGTTCAAAATTCTTTTGTAGTATCTCTTGGGGTTTCTCATAAATTCCTCAATAAGGTGTGGCTTGTTTCCAAACATTTGGGGCCTTTAAAATGGCCTTCTTACTGACTTCTGTAATTACATGATTGTCAGGAAACATAACTTGAATTATTGTAATCATTTGAAATTTGGTGGAGCTTGTTTCATGTTCTGTGGTCATATTTTGTAAGTGTTCCATGTATGCTTGAAAAGAATACATAATTTGGTTTTATTTTTGGTCAATTATGAGAAAAGTAATACTTTTTGGTTTTATTTACCTTAAGGCCTTCTTAATGATTGTGAGGTAGTATCTTGTGGGTTTGATTTACATTTCTCTAGTGATTAATAATATAGATAACTTTTGTATATTTGGCTATTTGTAGGTTTTTTGAGAAACATCAATCTTTTGAGTTTTGTGGCTTTGTTATAGTGTTTTTCTAAAAATTCTTTATGTATTTTGTACACTAAGATTTTAATAGATGCAGTTTGCAGATACTTTCTTCCATTCCCTAGCTACCACTTCTTTGAGAATGCCTTTGACACAGAATTTATGAAGTCCAATTTTTTTCTTGGAGTACCTATAGCTTTTGGTATCATATTTAGGAAACCATTATCAAAGCCACAATCATGAAACTGTTCGTGTATTTTTTTCTAAGAGTTGTATAGTTTAGTTCTTAAGTTGAGAGCTTGGGTCTGATTTGAATTTTTTTGGTACCAGGGATGGACAACCTTGCGTTTACCAGGCAAGTGCTTAAGCCACTGAACTAAATCTCCAGCCCTGAATTAACTTTTATATATGGTGTGAGGGGTTAAGGGTCTGAGTTCATCGTTAAGTGTAGTCATCCACTTACCCAAAGTCATCGTTGAAGAGACTGTGGTTTCCTAATTAAATTATCTTGGCACTCTCAAAAGTCAGTTGATAGTGTAGGTGAAGGTTTTTCTGGACTTGGTTCTGTTCAGCTGGCCTGTGTGTTTCCTCATGCTAATTCTACACTGTTTTGTCAGTTATATCTAGATATATTAAATACCTTATAAATTATTTTTGTACTAGTTTGTGTCATCTCACAAATTGATGATACATGTCATACTTAGAAAACACTTTCTATACTTGGTAAGAAATACGTAACTGTGCATCATTGTGCAGCAAACTAAGGCGTTCATGTTCTTTCTTGTATTATCAGCTTGAAAATACTTGGCAAAGAACATTTGGCAGCTGGATAAAAATGTGATGTACAGTGGTATTAGGTGCAGTGGTATAAAACAAGACAACTGTGCACTCTGATAGTGTTAGTTTTCTGAAGATATTACTTAGACTAGCCATTCTTTTTGTCCAAATACAAAGACAGAAGTCCTTATTTACTTTAAGGAGCTTATGATTGATTAAATATGATAGCTGTTTACCATAGAAAGTAATTCATGGTATATACAACACTTTAGCATGTTGAAGCTTCACAGTATTGTGGGGAAGAGCCGTGGAGTCTGGAGCCAGTTGGAATACCAGGACTTGCATTGGTAATGGCCAGCTGATAAATGAGTCACGGCTGAATACCTACCTGTGGCAGGAGTTGGCAGGCTTTTTCTCTAAAGGACCATATTTAAATGTTTCAGACACTGAGGATTATCTGGCTCTGGAGCACTCAAATGCGCTGTTGTAACTTGAGAGCTGGTATGGGTAATATGTCGATTAACGGTTATGGGTATGGTCAGTCAAAGTTTGTTCACCAGAAAGCTAGGCTATAGTTGGCTAATGCGCAATCCAGGGAAAAGTCTGGAATACAAAATAAAATTGTGTATTTTAGCAGTTTACTTTCAAGTAAAGTATGTTGATATTTAACATACTGAGAATAACAGCAGTTGTGGTGAATTGCTAGTGAATGAATTTTTGTTTTTGTTTTTTTTTTTTTTTGGTACCAGGAATTAAACTCACAACCTTGGACTTGCCAGGCAGATGCTTATGCCACTGAGCTAAATATCCAGCACATAGTCCATGAATTTTCAAGAGAGCTCACTTATGTAATTAGTGCTCAGAATAATAGGACGTTAACAGCATCCTAAGAAGGCTCCATTATGCTCCATTCCTAGCAATGCCTTCCTAAGTCTAGCCACTGTTCTGACTTGTATGGCATAGGTTAGTTTTTGGCTATGCGCTGAATGTTTTTTAAACAATTAAACCATATAGAATGTCTATTTTGGTTGGGTGTGGGGGCACATGCCTGTATTCCCAGCACTTGGGAGGCGGAGGGAGGAAGATCACCATCAATTGCAAGCTAGCTTGGACTACACAGTGAGTTTAAGCGCAGCCTGAGCTGCATGCTGAGACCTTTTTTCAAAAATAAATAAATAAAAGTCTTTTTGTCTGTTTTTTTGGTGAATATGTGAGATTCATCCATGTTTTTGTAGAGTAGTACTTTGTTCAGAGTCTGAACTTCTCCAGTGTATTTACCCATTCTGCTTTTGGAGCCCATTTGTGGTTAGTTTCTGCCTGATATAAGTAGTTTCATTATGAATATTTAAACTTACCTTTTTTTGTGTATTTCTGTTGGAGATAAACCTAGGAGTAGAATTACTGGATTCAAAGGTATGCAAGTGTTCAGCTTGGGTTGGTGGTGCCGAGTTTTCCAGTGTGGTGGTGGCACCTTTCACTCTCCCTAGGAGTACACAAGGGTTACAGTTGTACCACAGCTGCATCAGTCCTTTCCGTTTTAGCCATCCTGATGGATGTGTATTTTTTAAAAAGTTTACATACAGTTTATAAATTGGATCTTCATAGTAACTTTGTTAGTGGGAAAGACAGAAATCATTATCTTCCATTTTGGGTGAAGAGAGATTATTTGGTTGCCAGACACCTACAACTAACCACGTACCAGCACTGACATGTCCTTGTTTTCTGGCTTCATATCTTGTGGCATATATGTTCATATTTCAGTCTTGCAGGGTTTTTTTTTTTTTTTTTGGTCTTTTTTTGAGACAGGGTCTCGCTATGCAGTTCAGGCTGGCCTTGAGCTCACTTTGTAGCCCAGGCTGGTCTCGAATTCGCAACGATCCTCCCGCCTCAGCCTCCCGAGTGCTGGGATTACAGGCGTGAGCCACCATGCCCGGCAGTCTTGCAGTTTTTAAGACACACTAGGGTTTTCTTTGACCTTAGAGGAGCTGTCACACTGTGACTAACATCCCTGCTCTGAGAGTAAAAGTACATGTGTTAGCACTGACGTGACTTGTGTGTTTGTAGAGATGAGAAATAGAATGATGGCAATAGCCAAAGCAGCAGTTGTGCTGTATGTTGAAAATCAGTTTTCCTGCATCAGAGGAAGTGCTGTGCTCACCAACACCCTGCTGGACCATGATTATCCAAAGGCCCTGTGACTTAAATTGTGATTGTCGGATTCTGTCTCCTAGCTAGAAGGTGAGGCTATGGACACTAAAAGTTTTGTTTTGCTATAATGTACTATATTTTTATTAAACTTGGACAATGACTGTGTAGGACTGAATATACATACATGTGCCTGAGTTTAAAGTCTCCTCGGAAAAACAAACCTGTTATGTACTAAAGCATGTGTTTCAGTGGCAGTTGATACACCTTTTGGCAATGATGAAGGAATAGACCAATGTGAGGAAGGAAAAGGAGAGCTTTATAGAAATACAGATACTGACACAGTAGGTGTTGAACGCCCATTTGGGTCTAGGTGAGCTTGTTCCTGGGAAATTTTTTCCCATAAGACTATAAATGAACTGACTAGACTAGCGAGTTTAATAAGTTCTTTTCTTTCTTTCTTTTTTTTTTTTTTTTTGTCTTTTTGAGACAGGGTTTCACTATGCAGGCTAGCTTTCAACTCACTTTTGTAGTCTAGGCTTGCCTCTTAACTCACAACTTCCCAGTACTGGAATTACAGGCATGTGCCACCACACCTGACTAATAGGTTTTGCAGCAGTTCTGGATCACCAGTGTATTCTAGTATCTTTAGTTCTGGGTCACCAGTGTATTTTATATCATTTATCATGTGAATACCAACATTTTAGAATATAATTGTTTAATTGAAACTGCTTGTGATTTTGATAACTAGGGTACTTTAGCTTGGCTCTCAGTTGAATGTATTTTACATTGGAAGAATGTGTGCTTTGTTGGACTTATCCATTGGCATGAAATGTTAAAATCCACATTCATGTGTTATCTTTATGTTATACACTTGTAGAAACTGGGCTATCATTTTAGAAGCCATTACTTTGAGAGGAGGCATAATTGGGAGGGATCCATGAATTATTAATTGAAAACTAGTTCTATTTCTGTCCCTGGCTATGAGATTTTTGACCAAGTAGTTTAGTTTTCCTGAAGTCTGTTTCCTTAACTATCCAACCTTGACAGGAACTGTATGGTGCACCCCCTCAATTTTATTTTTTGTTTAATGCTCCTTGAATAGGTAATATATTATCATGGTTCAAAACCCAACAGTGATACTTGTGCTAGTGTTCCTTCTTAGTCTCCAGCTGTATTTTATTCAGGTAATGAATACCAGTTTTTTTTTCTGTAGTTTTGCAAAGGCATATTTTATACAAACACAAGCAATGCATGCATTTTATGTCTCTGTACTCCGTCTCCCCCTTAAAGAGGTGTTAAAATTTAGAACATACTGCTTTTTCCATGGAATGTAATTTGAGGATTCCTTTTTTAAAATTCTTGACTTTTTTATTGGTGCATGAGAATACATAATAATGAAACTTGTTTCGATAATTAGTGCATGCATGTAACACATTGTGATTATTTTTATCTTTAGCAACTGCTTCTACCTTTTTTTCTCCTCCTTGACCCTCTTCCTCATCTTTAAAAGTCATCTGTTCTTTACTTATTTATTTTTACATTGCTTATATAAGAGAAAACATGCAGTATTTAACTTTCTGAGACTAGTTTAATTTGCTTAACATGGTTTCCAGTCCCATCCAGTTTCTTGCAAATGACATTACCTCATTTTTTGGGTTTGTTTTTGTGTATGGTATCAGGGATTGAACTCACAACCTCATGCTTGCAAGCAGGAACTATGCTGCTAAGCTATACCCTCGGTCCCGTTACTTTGTTCTTTAAGGCTATGTAGTGCTTCATTATGTATGTGCACCACACTTTCTTTATTCATTTGTTGAAGGCATCTGAACTAGTTCTACAATGTAGCTATTATAGATTGCTCCACGATAAATGGAGCAATCATTGTAGTACACTGTCTTTAATTCTTTCAAGAATGTACCAAGAAATGGTATGGCTGGATCAAAGGGTGTATTTAATTTTGGTGTCTGGAGGCCTCTCCATACTGATTTTCATAATAGCTGACTAGTTTACTTTCTGTTCACCAATCTGAGAGGGTTACTTTTCCCCTATACCTTCACCAACTTTCATTACTTTCGCATTCTTGATGACAGCCCAGCCATTCTATATGAATTACATTTTATTCCCAGAGGGATACCTACCAAAGAGTAGAAATATCTGATAGGTAACAGAAGCATTCCAGTGGGTACAAGTCCTCTTTGGCCTCTTCCTGCCTCTTTGGGTGTAGTCCCTTTTAGTAGACACTTACGTGCCTCAACTGGGGCTGCTGGAAGGGTCCATAAGGAACATAAAACAGTGCATTTCAGCTAACTAGAGTGCAGCTGAAGGGTGGAGGTGCATAGGGTGAAATAGAAATGTCTGGTGGTATGTAAGCTGGGAAATACTAATCAAACTGTAGGTGGAGACCATGAGCCAGCCAGGTTAAAAGCTTGAGGAAGCTGAAATAAAATTACTGGTTGTAGCTATCTACAAATATTTAGCAAATACGTTGTAGGTACATAATATGTGCGAGGCTTGTGAAGTCTTTGGCAGTAATGAGGCAGAAAGGGTACACAGGCTCTAAGTTTTACTTGATGAAGTCCAGCTATTAAACTGTGAGAGCTGATCAGCACGAGAGGAGCAACCTAAATGGAGAAAAGAAAGTAGGAAGGAGTCTATTATGGATTAAAAGCTGGTGGTCAACTTAATGCCAGCTGAATTTAATCAGGATGGTGGTGAGCATAGATGTTCCCACTGAGGAAAGTTAGCAGCATAAATAGAGACATGGAAAGGAGAGGCTAGTTTCTGTGTGTTTCTCTTAAGTGTTGCTGTTTGAGCCGTTGGTTCTCCTGGAGGAGTTCCTCATGACTAACTTCCCCCATGTGAGTTCAACCATTATCATCAGAGGAGCTCAGGACCTTGTTGGTGACAGTGGCTGTGGTTTACTTTGGGGGAGCTCTGGTCCTTACATTGAGCATCGCTTCCTGGCCCCCGAGAGAAAGACGTGTGCTGCTTAATCTCCAGGACAAACTTGTCATGCTGGCTTTTTGGCATCTACTCAACTATTCTTATCAGGACCTCTGTGTCACTGAGGATGGCTATAATGCTTTTCAGGACAGCCTTGATCTTTGTTTTGAGCGTGACTTCTTGGCTCTAGCATAGAACTCTCAACCTACTAGCACAGCTCCTTCACTCCACTGGCATATACTTTCTAGCTTCTACTACTGACCTTTGGGCCTTCCTAGCACAGATCTGTAAAAGAGACTGGCATGAGTCCTTCTCGTGGGCTCTAGACCGCCAGTTGGACTTATCAGAGGTATTTCATGGGCTCTAGGTCTTCATCTGGACTCATGCAGGACATTGTTGTGGGATCCAGGCTCTTGGCTGAATATGCCGGGTGTTTGGTGTTGTGGATAGATTTCTTGCACTTTCTTATGTTAACTTGGGTTGACCATCATAAATAATACTATAAATTCTGTGTCCTGATCCTAATTGTTCTCCTGCCAACCCCTGACTACAACAGAATCAAAAATAAGAAAGAAGGGATGGTAGAGATTTCCCAGAATGGTAATGACTTGGAAGTGGGGATGGTGACTGAGACTCCTAGAGACATCCATGGAGGTGGACAAATCGGTATGTTGAGCAAGAAGCCCTCATGTTGCCTGCCCCAGGGCTGGTGTCTGGAAGGACCGCAGCAGTACTGGAGAAGGGCTTGCAGGACTGCAGTGCACATTAACACCACAGGTAGGAAGGGCAGTTGTGTCTTAGATTTTTATTTAGAATGCAGAAGTAAAAGCAGGTAAGTTTGGAGATTAGTGCAGTGACTTTTAGAAATTTAAACATATCTCATTTTAATATTAAAATACTTCATCCAGGCCCTGCTGGTGGGTGCCTCTAATCCCAGCATCAGGGTACTAAGGTGGGAAGATCACTGTGAATTTGAGGCTACATAGTGAGTTCAACACCACCTTGGACTACATAGCAAGATTCTGTCTCAAAAAACAAAGAAACAAAAAGCAAAACCTTTAAATTTTAACTACAGAGTACATAAACGTTTGTCATGAGGTGCAACCTTGAGTTAAATCCATGAATGCAGTACATGTGATTGGAACTTGTCACCATGCCAGAGAGGCATTTTATGAGACCAAAATATGTTGAATGTGATGGTACTCATCTGTAATCCCAGCTACTTGGGAGGCTGAGGCAGCAGTATAGCAACCTGGGAAAGTTAAGGAACTTGCAGTCCTCCTGCCGTACCCTTTCAGAGTGCTGGGATTACCAGTGTATACCACATGCCCACCTGTAAGTTAGTGAGATATTGTCTGAAAATAAAATTTAAAAAAGGACTGGGAATTTGGGTCAGTAGTAGAGCAATCTGCCTAACATGTGTGAGATCTGTTTTTAGGTTGGAGATAAGAGACTGTATTAGGGTTTTACTAGAGAGAACAGATATAACACGAGATATACATATGTAAAAGAAACAACAAGATTGGCTTATGATGGTCAGCCAGAGAGTTAGATGAGGAAGCATGCAGAGGGTGTTAACACACTGGAGGCTGAAGGATTCAGTCCAAGGTCTGGAGTTTACCCTAGTGTCTTGTGCAAGTCCACACCAGCAGGCTGAGGGGTCTGCAACCGAAGGCCAAAGGTGCTACGATGAAAGGCTGAAGAGTCTATCCTGGAAGCCAGGAGACCACATCTAAACAAAGGAGAAGACTGGAGCTTCTCCCAAGAATAGAATGCATTCAGCCTTCCTCCTTCTCTTTTATGCCTCCAGGTGATGAACCACCCTAGGGTGGGTCTTCTATACCTTGGGTGTAGAGCTGCTAAACCCATTTAGTTTAGCTTCTAAATGTCTCATATTGACACAATCAATCAAGCACTACTGAGACTGACTTCTACCAGTAAGATTTTAGCTGCTTAGCCTAGTTTTCTGGGCATGGTCTAGGGAAAAGAGTGATTTTTTAGGCTGGGTTGTATAGACCCAAATCATCATAAGTCAGGCCTGGCTCAGGTACGGAGTAGGGTGATTATAGAGTGATGGGTAGAGCATTAAATACATGGATTAGCATTAAAGACATAGCCATGTTTATAAGTTACTGGTAGATTCTTGTTCCTGTAGTATTAGGATACATTATTTTATTTTCCCCAACTTGGAGATAGACTATTGTTTTTGTGATGGTAAATGGACAGCTATTATATACTATTTACAATCTTTCATAAAGAGCTAAATTGTTTTTAAAGTTAGATTCAAATTACTTTTGCAATCAAGACTGCTTAGATATTTTCTTCTGGATTGTTGGGACAGGATCTCATAGTTTAAGCTGTTCTTGAACTCGCTGTGTAGTACAGACTAGCTTCAAACTATTGGCAGTGTTCCTACCTAAGTCTCCCAAATGCTGGGATTACTCTTGTGGGTCACCATGCGTAGTGCAAATATTTTTTGATCATCATGCAATCAGTTTGTTTGATTTTTGTAGTGAATTTAGAGCTTTTGGTAGCAGAACAGGTGAATAATTAAAGCATGCTGTAGTCATGTTTTTGTGGGTAAGATGACTGTATAGTTAAACTATCTTGGATTTGTACCTGCTATCCCCCCAGATACCAGTGAGTTCTTAAAATGATTTATCCTCTGTCTTTGTACGGGGGCAGAAACAGAAGCCTGAAACATATTGTTCAGGATGAGCACTCAGATCTTGCTAAATGTATTTGCCTTTGTGCTTATTATATATGTGTGGAGTGTGGCAGAAAATACCCGTATTGAATTGAGAGACACTATATTCCAGTGCCAAAAATATTCTGTAAAATTCTTCGAGCTACTGTTTAAGAATGCATCCTACAGGGGCCAGGGATGTAGCTCAGTGATATAAGCACCTGCCTTGCAAATGCACAGTGGTAAATTCAATCCCAGGTACCAAAAAAAAAAAAAGGAATGCATCCTACAGAAGGGAAAGTACCCAAAAAAAAAAAAAAAAAAAAAAAAAAAAAAAAAAAAAAAGGGTAAAGAGCTCAAAAAATTAACAATGTGGTGTGTGGTGGCACACAGTTGTAATCTCTGTAATTTGGGAAGTTGAGGCAGGAGGGTCACAAGATCAAGGCCAGCCTGGGTAATTTAATGAAACTGTCAAACAAAAGATTAGAAAAGTTTAGGAATGGATGTAGTTCAGTGCTTTCTTGAGTTCAATCCCTAGTACTAATATGCCTCCCCTAGTTAACAAAAAAAGTCCCAGTAATCCAATTTAAAAATAGGCCAGTGATGTGAGCAGAAACTTCTCAAAAGAATATAAATGGCCAGCAAATATATGAAACAGTGTTCAATATTATTAGCCATTAGAGAAATACAAGTGAAAATTGCAATGAGAAAGTATCTTATGGAATCAAAACATTAGAAATGCTGGCAACGATGTGGACAAAAGTGAATTTTTTTTTTTGTCTTTTTCCTTTTTATCAATACCGGGGATTGAACTCACGACTGCCTGCTTGCAAGGAAGGCACTTATGCCGCTGAGCTAAATCCCCAGCCCCGAAAAATGAATTTTTATACACTGTTGGTAGAAATAGAAATTGGTACAGTCACTATGAAACAGTATAGATCTTCCTAAAAAAACTAAAAATAGAATTTCTAAGTATATGTCTGAATGAAAGGAAATCAGGGTAACAGAATACCTACATGTCCATATTTACTGTAACTCTAGTCATGCTAGCCAAGACAGTGAGTCAGCCTAAGTGAGTGCTCATGAGCAGAAGAATGGGTAGAGTGCATGTGTGTGTGGATGGAACGCAGTATCACTCATTCAGAGGGAAGAATGGTATCCGTCATGGTGCGGCAAAATGGATGGAGTGGGGGCACATCATGTTAGGTGAAATAAACCAGCCACAGAAAGGCAAATGTTGCTTGTTCTCTGTCATACGTGGAACCAAAAAAAGAAAAATGAACCTGAAAGTGGGATAGTAGAAAATACCTGGACTAAGAAAGAGAAGAGAGCAAGGGCGAAAAAGGAAGGGTGGGTGAAAAAAGGGTAATTGGACATGATTAGTGCTACTGTATGAATGCATGGAATAGAGTTAATTTTAACATAGAGTTAATATGGATTAATAAAAATATAAGAAAAAAGCCCAGCCACCCTCAGGAAGGGAGGCCCACTCTGCAGCTGCCGTGCGCTAGATGTCTTTCTCAGATCATCTGCCCTTGCAGCTTCCCTGGCTGCAGTTGACATAGGCGTGACACGGCAGGTTCATTCGGGAACGCTCACCTGTGGCCGGCGGTAGGTTCAGAGCCCTCACCAAAGGGTATGCTAGTTCAGTGGACCCCTTTCTGGGCCATGCATGCCCAGGAGCCAAACACTGAGTGAACCTGAGGACATGGTGGACAGAAGGTGTTGGGAGGAAGGCTTTGGTGCAGAAGGGTGGTCCTGGGAAGGGTAACAGTCTGCAGGTGCTTGACTGTGACGTACGCTCCGGGTGGAAGCCCTTCTCCACTCACGCTTTTTCTCTTTCTTTCCGTAATGGGGTTTGTCGGCAGGGCTTTGTACATGGTGGGCAAGTATTCTACCACTGAGATCACAGTGCTTTTAAGACTTTGTGACATGGTCTCACTAAATTGTCCAGGCTGGCTTCAAACTTTTGATCCTCCTGCCTTAGGTTTCTGAGTAGCTGAGTTATGGATTTGAGCTATCGCACCCGACTCCAGTCATAGTATTGCACACAGTAAACAGTATTACAAGTTTTGCTTCTACCAAATTAATATCATGTTATCACTGTTTGGAAGAAGGGGCTTACTGAAAGTTGTAATTAATTATGTTGAGCTTTGTTAAATAATAAAGATGTTTCTTGGGAAAATTTTAAGAAAAGTCTTAGTTTATAAATAAAAACATCTTTCACATTTCAAATGGGTTAGTTTCATGTCTCTGGAGGCTTCTTTCTCTCTCAGTTCTAGGAATTGAACACAGCCTTCACTCCAAACTATACCCCAGCCCGTTTGTATTTCCTGTTTGAAACAGAGTCTCCCTAAGCAGTGAAACTGCCCAGACCAACTTTCAATTTGTGACCCTTCTGCCTCAGCCTTCCTTAGCATGGAGATACCGTTGTGTACCACCTGTCTGGCTCTTTTAGGCTTTTATCTGTCAATTACAGTTTAAATCCCTTCTAATTTTGGGAAATGCACCATGACTTAATTCTTCTTTTCCCCCATTCCTCTCCTTTCAGTCTTTCCCCTTTCCATTTACAGAAATTTTGTTTCCATTTTTTTCCTTCCATTCTCCTTCCCATTTGAAAACATTCTTCTGTGTTGCTCCTTTTACCCTTCAAGTTTGTAATACATAAAAATACAATATTTCAACCGGTGTGTTTAATTTATTTCATTTAAAATCATGGTTTAGAGTTGCATCCGTTTATCTAAGAGAGACTCAGGTTTGTCCTTTATGGCAGAGTAATCCTCCATTCTATATAAATTCCACATTTTCTTTATCCACTCGTCAGTTGATAGGCCTGAGATTTAGCTATTACAGATTGTGCTGCTGTAAACATGGGTATGCATATATCCTTGTGGCATGATGCTTGTAACTCTTCTGGGAAGACATCTAGAAGGAGGACAGACATTTGGGCCTATTGGAGTCTCTAGTTTTAGTTTTTAGGAATCTCCATACTGGTTTCCGCAATGGTGGCACCAGTCTACACTCTCACCAACAGTGGGGAAGAGTTCCTTTTCCCCCACAGCATTGCTAGCATTTGTTATTGGTTGATTTCTTGATGATAGCCATTGTTTCTAGAGTAAGGTGAAATCTCAGTATTTTCATTTGCAGCTCTCAAATGACCATTATGTTGAACATGTTTTCATGTGTTTATTTGCTATTTGTATTTTGTCATCTGAGAAATGTTTATTTTAGATGCCCATTTTTGAATTAGGTCTTTAATTTGATGGGTCTGATTTTTTGAGTTTTTTTAATATCTAGATATTTGTTCTTTGAATAACTGGTAAAATTTTTTCCCTTTCTATCTCTTCACTGTGTTGGCAGTTTCTTTTGCTGTTCATGTTGGGACACTTTCTTTCTTTTTTTTTTTTTTTTTTTTTTTGTCTTTTTCGTTTTTATCGGTACCAGGGATCGAACTCACGACTGCCTGCTTGCAAGGCAGGAGATTATGCCGCTGAGCTAAATCCCTAGCCCTGGGACACTTTCAAAGAGACTTAGCAGTGAGATTGTTCCTAATGCCTTCGAAAGAAATTAAGTGGACTTTCGAAGTTAGAAAGAAACTGTTATTTCTAAGATGAGAATATGTAATGTATTAACTAGTGATTTCTTACTGTTTATTTTTTAAATTTTGTATTACTTGTACCCTTTCTCTGTTTTTTCTTTTTCTCCTTAAATAAAAAGAAAGAAACTGTCTTTGGTGCTTATGTGTGTGTGGCGTGAAACCTCAGGGGACTACTCATCTCAACCCATCTCATTTCTAGTTTTTTTTTTTTTTTTTTTTGGTACTGGGGCTTGAACTCAACTTTGTGCTTACCAAGCAAGCACCTGAACTGCTGAGCTAAATCCGCAGCCTCATTTCTAATTTTAAGACATACCAATTAAAAATATTTGACATTAATTTTACATAATTAGGTTGCAAAATAATAACCAAATAACATAGTTTGATTTATACAGTGAGAAACAATAACAACTGGCATTTATTGTCTATACTTACGCACTTTCATAGATGGAGTTTTAACATTGGATGCGGAGAACACTGATTATGACTGTCCAGTTCCAAACTTCCATAAATGTGAAATCTGCCTGCTGTCTTTTCCAAAAGAGTCTCAGTTTCAACGCCACATGAGGGATCATGAGCGAAATGACAAGGTATGTATTTTTACAAGGCATATCAGTAACATGAGCATCAGGTGTTATAAGATAATGAAATCTAAATTTATTTCTTCTAAAGATTATTAAATTGTTGGGTATTTTATTTTGTATAAACATTTTGGCAAATTTTTGAGGGCTCGTCCTAGTGAATATAACTATGAGTGGACAAATATTATGAGTGCAAATATTTTCAAAATTTGCAGTAGTTTCAGTTTCCTAAATGACTGAACCTGAGAGTTTATTTGTTTGGTCATTCAGGCTGGGTTTGAACTGACTGTGTAGCACAGGCTGGCTTTCAACTAGCTATAATCTTCCTGCTTGAGCTTCCTGTGTGCTGGGATTATAAGCATGCACCATCATGCTGGCTGACCAGCAGGACATTTTATCCTCAAGTGCTCTTGCATGGCATTGTAGGGTTTTAAATGTGTGCCAGCCCCTAGACTGTCTTTTTAAAAATTTTTCTTATATGTGCATATTAGAATTATAGGATAATGGAGTTTATTTTGGGAAATTGGTACATCTTTATCTTTTTTCATCTCATTACCCGCTTCTCTTTTTCTTTTTGTCTCCATCCCAGTCTCCAACTCTAAAAGGCTAGCTCTTGGTTTCTTGTCATCTCACTTATTTATTGGTTTATTCAATTTTTTAGTATTCTTATAGAGAAAGCATGTGATATTTAACTGAGCCAGCTTTATTTCCCTTCTACGGTACTATTTTAAGTAGGGCTTTGAATCTTTTTTTGTGGTACCCCTTGTACATATATCAAGAATATTAGTGTCAATAAAACAAAGAAAAAAAACCTCAGAATATTAGTGTCTACTCTAGTGGAAGACTGCCTGATGGATGGAAAGTGGCATTTAAAACTACAATTCCAAAGTGAGTGCTGACGTTTCTCTGATACGCTAATGTAAGCCAGTGATGGGCAGAAATGCAGCTCTCCTGCCTGGGGCTCAGGGAGTCACTTCACTTCCCGCTCCGTGCTGGGAACTTGCTGCTCTACAGTTACGCTGGCAGTAGGCAGCTCTGGTGCTCACAGACGTTACTGCCCTCGCCTGACAGTGCAAAATGTTAGAGTCCCTGTAATTTAGAGAGAACCACCAGGATTGTGTCAGTTTTTTACCAGTAAGTGGGCGAATACCTTCTAGTTGGAATCTACAAAAATCTATATGATTACATATTTTATTTGGAGTGGTACTAGTGAGTTGGTCAGAAGCAGAAGGAAAAAATAATGGATTGAAGTTTCTCACATCTGTTTTCATAGAGACTATAACTAGATACACTTGTATGCAGTATTTCATGGTAGGAATATTTTTTGGAAACATATATTTTCTTTATAATTTTTTGAGATGGGCTTGCAGGCACATGTCTATAATTCCAGCATTTAGGAGGCTGAGGCAGGAACATTGCTCTGAGTTTGAGGCCAACCTAGACTACAAAGTGAGTTCAAGGCTAGGCTGAACTGTATAACAAGACTTGTTCTCAAAAAAAAAAAAAAATTGTTTAAGAAATCATGTCAGTAGCTTTATGCTGTCCCTTTTGGATGTATTGACGCATAACCAGAAGAAACTTCAAAGTGTCTGTACATTATGGTACTTATTAACGTTTTAGTAACCTTTATTGGACAAGCATCTGTGGAAAGATTGTATTTTAATGGCTTTTATACTTTTTTCTCCAAATAGCCACATCGATGTGATCAGTGCCCCCAAACATTTAATGTTGAATTCAACCTGACACTTCATAAATGTACCCACAATGCAGATGACCCTACTTGCCCTGTGTGTAACAAGAAATTCTCCAGAGTGGCTAGTCTTAAAGCGCATATTATGCTCCATGAAAAGGAAGAGGTAATTATTTTGCATTATCTTTTGTTAACTAACTGATAAAACACATCTAATCCTCGGAAGGACTTCAGGTATAAACTAGTTTTAAAAACTTTTCTGATAGATTTTAAAGAGCCAGTAATTGTCATTAAATTTGTTTCAACTGATCTCTAGTTCACTGGTAAAACATTTTATTTTCTGGCCCCTGTTAGTAATTTATGGTAGATCCATGTTAGCGGGTAGTACATTTGCAGGGTAAAGCATGTCTGCATTAGCTGACAGCAGTTCTTTCCTGTTGTTCTGCACCCTAACCCCAACCAGAAACCAACTTTCATAGACTGCAGTGCATGCACAATGACTTTGCTGTTATATATGGTATGATCTCCTCGCCGGGTTCTTGGGTCCTCTGGTCACCATGTCTATTCATGGTGTCAGAGCAGTGGCTGACCCTAGAAGTGCCATAGACCAGAGTTTTGAAACTTCAGGAGCCACAATTTTAAACTGGGTGGTTGGGTGGGCCTACTTTGAAGTGTAAGTAGCTGTTGCTATTAAACTGTACTCCTCTTACTCCTCCTCCCTGATTATTGTGAAAATTGATAAGAGAAGAAAATAAAAGTCACTTCTAAATCTGAGATAATTACTATTGTTGTTTGGTATATTTTCTTCCTGTTTACATTGCATATGTAAAATTTACATCCTAAAATTTGAATTCATATTTTCTACTTGGGTTGTATACTTTTTATTAAATGATTTTGATTCTTATTTTAAAGTAATGTATTCTTATATTTTAAAACATTATATAACTAATGCATGTTTTGGAAAAAGTTAGAAACATCATAAAACATTCGTATCATAAAAACATATTATCATATGTATTGGGGTGCAAAAAAGGTGAGTTCATAGAAACAGTAGAATGGTGTTACTGTTCAGGGTGGGGTTCAGGGTGGGACTGAGGCCACAAAATTCCACTTAGATAGGAGGAATAAATTTAATAGATTTATTGTGTGTTATGACACCTGCAACTAAAAGCAGTGTTTGTTTGAAAATTGCTGCAACAGTAAACTTTGTTTTCTTGCCACAAAAAAGTAAGATAATCATTTTATATATATGTATGGATAATGTATATGTACACACATAAGTATGTAAAACTATAATATATGTGTATATGTATATCTATATGTACACATATAATTTTACTTGTTCATTAAAAATTAATTAAATTAATTAATTTAAGAGTTTAAAAAATCACCTGTAATCACATCATTTAGAGAGATGAATATATAGTCTTTTAGGCTGTTTAGTATATACACATTGCATTATATGTAGTTTGTATTATGTGATCTGCTGCTATACAATCTGTTTTATAAGCCACATTTTCTAACATGCTTTTGATAAATGCATTGTCTTTTCACTTCTTGGATCATGAGTGTTTTCAATATTACTATTTTAAATTACTTTATTAAAGTTTTTTACATCTGGACTTAGCATAATAATATCTAGTCATTTATTGGTCATTAATATTTTTTCAATGTTATAAATGAGAAATCTTTATATTTAGATCTCTTTATGAATCTTTAATTATTTCCATAAGGTTGATTTCTACTATTGAGTTTAGTGAATTAATGTCTTCATATTTTAGTTTCTTTATAGAATGTCACATCATGGTCTGGAAAGCGCATGCTAATTTGTACTTTTATTGCAGAATGCTTCTCGCTGAATTTATTACACTCTACTTGTTATATAGGAATGCTTCTCATTTTACCTTACACAGTTTATTAGCTGGGGTATTAATTGATATTTTCTCTTTGGAAAACATTTTATGGTATCCAAATTTTAAATTATTAGGAAAGCTTTAATTATTAGAGATGACCTTGATTTTGTTATATTTTGTTTTTGTTTTTATTTCATTTTATCTTTTTTATTAATGCATTATAGGTATATATAATGATAACATTCATCATAGGAAATTTGTAACTGTACATGGTATGTCTTACTTTTTTTTTTGTCTTTTTCCTTTTTATTGGTACCAGGGATCGAACTCACGACTGCCTGCTTGCAAGGCAGGCGCTTATGCCGCTGAGCTAAATCCCCAGCCCCTTATGTCTTACTTTTTTTTCCCATTCCTACTTTCCCATCAGCCCCTCTTCCCCTCCTTATTGATAAAACATTTGTTTCCATTTTTTTCCTTCTATTCCTATTTTTTTCTTGTACCTTTCTTTGCCACTTCTCTCTCTTTTGTTTCTCTTTTCATTTGAACATTTTCTTCCCATTTCTCAATATCTATTATACATTTGGGCCTCATTACACTTTAGGTTTCTCACACCAGAGAACAATGCAGTATTTTTTGATACTCGGAATCAAACTTACAACTTCACGCTTGTCAGGCAGGCGCTATGCTGCTGAGTGATATCCCTGGCCCAACAATGAAGTATTTAAACATGTGTCTGTTTTATTTCACATAACAGTGTGGTCTTATGGTGTGCCCATTTATCTAGAAATGTCTCAAGCTTTACCTCCTTTATGACAGAGTAAAATGCCATTGTATAAAGCACCAACATCTTTGTCCATTCACTTGGCTCTTTCGAACATTTAGCTACTACAAACTGTACCAGTAGAAACATGGTTGTGGGGCCGGGGATTTAGCTCAGTGGCGTAAGCAACTACCTGAGAAGCACAGGTTGTGAGTTTGATCCTGGATGCCAAAAAAAGAAAGAAAGAAACATGGATGAATGTATATCACTGTGGTTGGATACTTTCAGGAAGGTACCAAGAAGGGGACTAGCTGAGTCAAGTGGAACTTGTAGTTTTAGTTTTTTGTGGAATCTCTACACTGATTTCCATACTGATTGCACCTTCTACACTTCCACCAACAATGAAAAAGGATTCTTTTCTTCCCGCATCCCCTCCAGTATTTTGTATTGGTTGATTTCCTGATGTTGGCCATTTTTTCTGGAGTGAATTGGAATCTCAGCATTGTTTTAATTTGTCTCTCAAATGACCAGTGTTGTTGAACATTTTATCATGTATTTATTGGTCATTTGTATTCTTCTCATCTGAGAAGTCTCTATTCATTTCAGATGCTCATTTTTGGATTAGGTCTTTAAATATTGGGTGCATCTGATTTTTACATTTAATTTAATTAATTTTTTTTTAGTTCTTTATGTATTCTAGGTATTAGTCCTTTATCTGAAGAACAGCTGACAAAAACCCCATTCTGCGAGCTGTCTTTTCACTCTGTTGATGGTTTCTTTTTCTGTGCAAAAGCTTTTAAAAGAGATGAAGTCCCACTTGTTGATTTTTTATGATATTTCCTGTCCAATCAGGATTTTGTTCTTAAAGTCTTTGTCTATACTAATGTCTTTTTAAAAAGAGTTCTATCTATTCTCATTTCCAGAATAAAGATTTAGTGTTTCTGTTTTAATATTTAGATCTGTGATTCACTTTGATTTTAGTTTAATGCATGGTTAAAGAGAGAGTCTGATTTTAATCTTCAGTATGTAGAAAGCCAGTTTTTCCAGGAACATTTACTTTTTTATTTTTTGTTATTTTTGAGACAGGGTTTCACTATGCAGTTCTGCTGGCCTTGAGCTCACTTTGTAACCTAGGCTGGTCTTGAGCTCACAGTGATCCTCCTGCCTTGGCCTCCCAAGTGTTGGGATTACAGGCATGCGCCACCATGCCTAGCTTCCTGGACCATTTATTTAAAAAGGCTATCGTTATTCCAGTGAAGGTATTTTGCTACTTTGTCAAAAATAAGATAGTTGAGTGTGTTTGGAGTTATTTTTGCATTTTCTAATCTGTTCTATGATCATCAGGTTTTTTAGGCTAATACCATCCTGTTTTTATCATGGTAGGCTTTGTAGTATAATTTCAAGTCAGGCATTTTGATGCCCCCTGCATTGCCTTTATTGCCCAGAATTGCTTTGCTATTCTGCGTATCTTCAGGTTGTGGGCTTGTTTTCTGTATTTCTGTGATGTATGCTGTTGGTGTTTTGATGAGGATTGCATTAAATCTGTATACCAATTTTGCAAGTGTGACCAACTTCAGTATATTGGTTTTGCCTGCCCAAGAACAACAGGTGTCTTTCCCTTTTCTCATATTCTCTTTGATCTCCTTTTTCAGAGTACTGTAGTTTACAACCTGAAGATTTTTTTGATTCTTAGATGCTGTATTTTATTTTGGGGGTGCTTTTGTGAACGGTGTTATTCCCCTAATTTCTTGCAGTGTGTTTGTTATTTGTATACAGTAATGCTATTGATTTTTGAATATCCAGCTATGCTCCTGAATTTAGTTACTAAAGCTAGGAGCTTTTTGGTGGAGTTTTTGAGGTCTTCTATGTAGAGTATCATGTCATCCACAAATAATGATAATTTAATTTCTTTGTTTCCTATCCTTATTCCTTTTATTTTTTTTCTTATCTAATTGTTTTCGCTAATGTTTCCAAAACTGTATTAAATAAAATAGTGGACATCCTTGTCTTGTTCCTGATTTTAGAATGAAAGTTTTCAGTTTTTGTCCATTTCATATGATGCCAGCTGTTGGTTTGCCATACATGGCTTTTATCAGATTGAGATAAAGACCATCTATTCCAATTTTCTGTAGGGTTTGTATCATGAATTTGTGTTGGATTTTGTAAAATGCTTTTTTTGTATCTATTTAGATGATCATAAGTTTTTTGCCCTTGGCTCTGTTCATGTTGTGTATTACATTTATTGATTTATGTATGTTGAACCATCCTTGCACCCCTGGGTGAATCCTTGCTGGTCATGGTATATAATATTTTTGATGATTTGCTGCATTCTGTTTGCCACTGTCTTATTGAGTCTGTTATCTTACTTACATTTATATTCTTTAGGGAGATTGGCTTTTGGTTCTCTTTTTGATTGGATCCTTCTCTGGTTTTGGTTTCAAGGTAATGTTTACTTCCAGGAATAAATTTTGGAATATTACCTCCCTTTCAGTTTCATTAAAGAGTTTGAGAAGCAGCAACTTTAAATCTTTTCTAATTTTTCTGTAGAATTTA